CAACTGTCAGTGTCTGATATAACCATTTTATGAAGTGAAAAGTCAACTTCAGGTAAATTCGAGAGCCAGGGTGAAATTTCTATCGTTCCAAATGACTGAATGTGGTCAAAATCATTATTTGTGTTTTGAAACAGAGCAGAAGCTGGAATACCGAATGGTGGAATGGTCTTTGGGTTGTTTTGAAACAAGATTTTATATTTTTGATGAAATACAAGTGAAAAAGCAGTGTTTGACGGATTTGCCGTTAGCTGAATGGTGTATTGCAAAGCCAATTTGTTTCGACGGCTATATAGTGATGGTTCGTTAGCCTCTACAAAGAGACTTGTTGTAGGTGTGAGAGCGAGCCTGAGACTCTGGTGATGAACAGTGTCTAATAATTTGAGATATGAAGGTCCATACACAATGGAATCATAGTCTAATTAGTCCTATTTTGTTTTGATAAGAGCTCTATAATTCATGTCCTCCACCATTATCTCATTCCAGAATTTTTTCGAGCTGTTAACTTTTAGTGATGATGTATATAGTACATAATAATATTATATGGCAATACTTTAAATAGTAACCAACATTTTCATGTAGATTGTAACAGCTATCTTCTGTTTTACAGGCCTGTTGACGGATCAGACAGAAACCTACACAGCGTCATTTTACTCTGTGTCCGCTGGTCTTGGCTTAGCGACATGCATGTTCATATTATCGGCTGCACTTAAGAAAACATCAGAAAACAAACATATCGACGACACAGCATGTAGTGATGTAGATGGCAATACTTCTCTGCCTACTTAAAAATAGATATAATCCGTTGTCAAACAAACTTTGGCGTAGAATCATTTGTTAATATTTCAGTAAAAGTTAGAACAATCATATGTAATAAGCGTATGTCTTACGACTCTCAGATGCAAAAGATTCTACACAGTACTTTCGAAAGGAAATATATTTCGTTTTGAATATACATAGCCGTTTAAGAAGAGCAAGAAGAATATGGCACCTTATCTATCCCCCAATAAATTATAAAAATCTGTCATCCCTGACATAAAAAAAAATCCGTATCCGGTTCGCCTAAATTACCAATATACCGTGACTGTATAAATGCAGCATTTCTATTCACTATTCAAACTAGTGTCGATTTCTAATTATCACCAAGGTGCGTGATCGCCAATACGTTTGTAATCAATATATGTTTTACAAAGATGCCACGGCTATCCCAACTTGTTCTGAAGTAGCACTCAACAGCAGGTTGCTACTCACTTTGGAGTTCACAAATCGACTGTAAGTCAGTTAGTTTAACGTCTCAACATCACGAGAGCAGTTGATTAGAGACCGAGATCCGGACGTCCATGTGTTACGTCGCGATGGCTAGATCGATACCTTCAGCTTGCCAATTGCGTTGCTGGAGATTGACGGCAGCCAAATCGGTACGAAATACCATTGGTAATGGAAACCATTGAATCCACCCTAAACCTGAGAAATAGACTGCGAAACACAAATTTACTTCCACGTCATCATGACGTTGGTTTGCCACCGAAACCTCGATGTCGAATAAGACAGATTTGGGGTGGATCGGTTATGCTTTTGGAAGTAGGAATTTACCTTCCATTTTAAAACTTGGGTTTCAAAAACTGCCTGCAAAACGTTTTAGGAGTCAATGAAGAAAACTTGGGAGTTAACATAATTAACATTGATGTTTGTGCTAATAAATCAATTTAGTTTCAAACATAAAACATGTTTAGTTTTATTCGTTGATATTCAAATTTAAAATAGAACAGGGCAATTGTTTTGGAGACATTACAATAGCTGTTTATTCGTTTGTATTATTCAATAAGTAAATAATATAACACGAGACGGAAATTCACTTCCACATCATCAGTGCGTTGATTTGCCAATGACACCTCGATGTCGAGCAAGACAGATTTGGAGTGGATCGGTTATGGTTTGGAAAGGACTTTCCCATGGTTACAAGAAACCGCCAATTGTCATTAATGAACATTTAACGGTTTTACGCTATTGATATGAGATCCTGAGCCCTCGTGTTGTTTCTTTCATTCTTTAATACTATATCATGAACTTGCCTTTAACTTTCGTATTGCTTTTTGCTGGGTTCTTGGGCACATGGGAATACCAGGAAATAAAAAAGCAGATCGTACCGCAAAGGAAGCTTTATCGCTACAATCTGTTGTTTTAGTGTTGTTTCCGCATTTGACAAAACTGCATACAAACTGACTTGATTGTGAAAAGTCAAATCCATTTTCATCTGCCCAAATTTGTAGTCGATTCAGACGTTGCTGTAGTTGTCTTTCGATGGTATTCATATAATTAGATCGATAGCATATGATGACATACGGCCTAGTCACTTACGAAACTCATCTGCATTTAAATGCCATGCTCTGTCCATATTCTGACATGACCTAGTACCCTATTGGTAGTATTGACATATGACCGCGTCACTTACGAAATCTACCTACATTTAAATGTCATGCTCAGTCTACAAAATAGAACATTTCATAAGTAATGTACATAATGTAACTAGACATGGTGATGATTATTAGAAACATCCAAACTTTGTATTTGTAATACAATTTGTAGGTTTTATTTTCTTAAATACGCACATTAAACAAAGATACTTGAATTATATTTTTGAAATAAACCAGTAATAGTCTTAGTGATAATGTTTGAAAGTCATGAACTACGTACCAATATGTACCTCATATTTCAATATAAACTTTCGATATCTTAAAATATATTGAATTGTAAATCGAATATTGATGTATTGTACAATCTTCTTTCACTTTTTACATCTGTGTTTTCGGCAGGCAAACACCTTAATAACACAGATTTCAGTTTCGGTATGGCAGTTAATCGCATTTCCTAAAATATCGAATGATCTGTCATATCTGCGGTCCATAGAATCATAATTATGGATGATTGCGTCAGCACGATTTTTCCAATTGTCAGAACGCACTGTATCAAGGGAAGAGGACATGTTATATGTGCCTAAGTAATGAAACGTTTTATTATTTCAACATTTCTGGCTTCTAAAATGGTTCATTTGTACATGTGTATATTCTGGACCGTGCCATTATTCGAATTAATGTTAACCTTGAAGACGAGTTGGGCAATCATTGTACTATATGCTCGTTTTGATTTAATAGTGACGAAATCAAAGCTTGATTATATGTCGCCCTTTTTTGCGCAGAAATAAAAAAGAATATGTATGAAAGCATAATACTGACATATTGATTTTGTTAATACGCGAGAATTATTTCGTTAAAAGCTCAAGTCATCTCCTTTTAACGCGTTACGTGTATGTAAAACGCGATAAGTAAATCACTATCTGGTTAAAATTGGTAAATGTTTCAGTAACAAAACGCATCCGCTATCGCGTTTAGGCATGTTAAATGTGCTCTGTAGTTGTTACCATGTTAAAACGTGGTAAGTTAATCTTATTTATATAAATTCGTCATTAATTCTCTTAATACGCATCTTTAAAAGCGTTTGTTATCTCTGCTGAGTTGGCTAGTAATTCGTTCTGCAAGCAAAGGGCCAGCAGTTACCTGAGTAAAATTAGGTATGTTTTTTATGGCCCACATTGTATTTGCCTCTGTGATTGGGCACTAACATGACAAAACAGCAAAATACACTTTAGAATCATCAGCTGTATATTAAACTGCTTTGCTGTTAACTTAACATATTTCTGAATATTACTCTGAATATTCTTATATTAGACTTTTAAATAGCCGTTTTTGTTGACTAAATTCATAACTTTTTAAAAATTTTCTTTGAGCTATAAAAAACCAAACCAGCATCAAATCAGACTATCTGGACTCGATTTTAGTATTAAAATACTATATAATAATATCTACTCATCAGTCATTCGTCAATCTGTAACGTATATGGAGAACCAGTGAATAGAAGGCCCTGCCGTGATTGTTATATCCTAAAACGTTATATAATAACTGGAAATTTCCATCACGAGTGATGATATAATTTTTCTTATTTCATCATTGTAGTGATGATAAATGTTTCATGATGCATTTTCTCTGATATTTCAAAGGTCAAATTAATAGTATAGTTTAAAATTCATTCATTTCCACGACTTACATACTTTCTACATCATTGAATCTAGTGTAGGAAGACTCCGGGCTGTAGTAATGTTTGACGGATGTCATATATCAGATCATAGTTTCGGCCATTGTATAACACATGTGAATTAAATTTTGTCGTGTCATTAGCCCATCAAACCTTAAAAGAAACCGATGTCAAATAATGACTTCACATTTATCTTAAAAGTATAAATTAAGTGCACCTATCCCAGTGTTCGCAATGCGAAAGGAATGAGTCCAACGTAATATGCATAACAGCCAATCTGGGCCCTTGTTTGGTATATATTAATGTGCATTAACATCTTAACGAGAAATATATCCTGCATTGTTCCAACCAATTATAAAAAGTTATATATATACATATGTATAAGTAAGATGAACACTTACATTTATTGTATTATAACTTCTAGGTTTAAAAGTATGTTTAGCAAAGATATTTCCTAACAAATTATGTTTAAATTTAAAAAAAAAAATCACTAATTCTTTTTAATTAATTTTGACAAAATTATCTTCATGTTCAGTTTACAGAATTATGTATTTTATTTGTTTTCTTGATATCACGTATGTATGAACAAGGAAGTTGGTGTTGACTGAATATGGGATATGAAAACTGACGACGTCACAAATGCTTTACATGTGTACTAGAATTCCTTCTTCGAAACTCATCCATGCAGAACGTCGTGCATCACGGCCTACCTCAGGTAAAAACAAACATGTCGTGAGGTTTTACCGAGAAAATAATACGTCAAAGGAATGTTAGTCAGAATTTCGTTACCTGGAAAATAGTCGATTGATCATACGTGTATAAAAGAGAAAGGAGATCCGAATAAGTAATAGTTTACATATATATTATCTACAGTGAGGAGCCTACGACAAATACTAGGACTGATACCATTCACCATGACGATATCACTAATTCTCATACTTACTGCAGTACATGTGTACGGATCAGCTGCAGGTAGGCACGATAATATCACTTCTGAAAAGAACGTTTTAAAAGAGTAACTTTATCACAAATAATATGTAACTTTTTAATACCATTTTACTATAGGGTTTTTCAGGTATTTTCTTATCTATTTACAAAAATAAACCAAAACGACAGAACTTTGCTTGTTTCTTAAATATGTATTGCTTAGATTTAGTGTTTATCCTCATTGTTACCGCTTGAGTAAGTAAGTTTATCCGATTGCTGAACATTCAGAGGGATATTTAAGCATCGGTATTATGATATTTTATATCAATTTCGTTTTAGATATCTAAATTGACGACTGTTGGCCGTAACTGAAATGTACCTTTTGGGTTAGCTATCTTCTTTTTTGCTGCTTTTGTCTCCCCTTCTTTTCCTCTTTTTGTTTCTGCTGTTTTCCAATTACTTCCGGAATTTCAAGTCGAGTAGATGATTTTTGTTTCTTTTTTCTTTTGTTTTGTTATGTTTCCATTGTATTAGTGGTAAACGAAATCCCTTTTTATCCTTCAACTTGCCTACTTATATAAAGGAGTCGTCAAAACAAATTTACAAAGATATCGTTTCCATTTACAGTTTCTGAGCCTGTATCATTCCCTTTCCCTAACGTTCCATCACAGGCAGGTAAGTAAGATAAGTCTGTTGATCCCGAAGACATTTCAAACAAAAACATGAAATACATGATAAATATAGCTAAGCTTTCTAAATGAAGTAATCAATCGATTTCATACCATTCAAAAGCAAGATTCATATTTTATGATTTGAAACTATAGTCAGGAAATTTCTTTTTTAAAGAAATCTTAACTGCTGTAGTTTGTAGGGTAAATCATTTAGAGCCGGAAGTTGTTCCGATGAAGCTTGAAAAGTAGAGAAGAAAATTAGTTTTTCGAATAGAAATTGAAAATGAAAATGTCTGAAATAGAAAACATCCCCCTTCCTACGCCACCGGAATGAGCCAGAAAAAGGATTTTCCAGAATTTTCTAACGTGACAAACTGCACTGCGAGCCTTAGGATTAAGATTTATTACCCAGAATACATATAGATGTGCTATTTCTTTAAGAATATGACTGTGTAGGATTTAACGTGACAATATAATACATTTTGTGATTATACTTCAACCTAAAAATCTTTATAAACAACACTTTAACACGTAATTTCTAAGCCAAACAATAATATCAATTACGTAGATCACCTCTTTTTTCAGATCCTCGCTGTCCTCCTATGGGACTTGTTGGTATATGTGCATTTACGTGTACTGATGGATGTCGCCCAGGTAAATTTTACTACAGTATATAGCCCAGAGCGGAGCTTCTCTGATATGGTACAAACGACACATAAGTGAATGACATCTTTTATTCAAATTCAGAATCAGATATAGCGAAGCTATGAATAAACTGTATCAGGCAAACTCGAAATTCAATCTATTTCATAAAATGTGTACACGTTTATTCTGAACTATGTCTAGTATTTTTAGATACGGCTGTTTATATGACATAGATGAGAGGTTTTCTAGTTTCTATCCCAACTGTTTAAACAAAGAACGTTGTACTAGATTCAGTTTCAGTTTTCAATTAGGGATTATTTTCTCCTTAATTTCGGTTTCAGTACTTAATTGCACATTTAAACGGAAGTATTTTTATAGTCTTAGTAATAAGAGTTCATTTTATACATCTAAGTAACAAGTGTTCAGTTTTAACTAGTCTTAGTAACAAGTCTTCATTTTATACAGTTTCATTAACAAGTGTTATTTCAATAGTCTTGGTAACAAGTGTTCAGTTTTAACTAGTCTTAGTAACAAGTGTTCAGTTTTAACTAGTCTTAGTAACAAGTCTTCATTTTATACAGTTTCATTAACAAGTGTTATTTCAATAGTCTTGGTAACAAGTGTTCAGTTTTAACTAGTCTTGGTAACAAGTGTTCAGTTTTAACTAGTCTTGGTAACAAGTGTTCAGTTTTAACTAGTCTTATTAACAAGTGTTCAGTTTTAACTAGTCTTAGTAACAAGTGTTCAGTTTTAACTAGTCTTGGTAACAAGTGTTCAGTTTAAACTAGTCTTAGTAACAAGTCTTCATTTTATACAGTTTCATTAACAAGTGTTATTTCAATAGTCTTGGTAACAAGTGTTCAGTTTTAACTAGTCTTGGTAACAAGTGTTCAGTTTTAACTAGTCTTGGTAACAAGTGTTCAGTTTTAACTAGTCTTAGTAACAAGTGTTCAGTTTTAACTAGTCTTAGTAACAAGTGTTCAGTTTTAACTAGTCTTGGTAACAAGTGTTCAGTTTTAACTAGTCTTGGTAACAAGTGTTCAGTTTTAACTAGTCTTGGTAACAAGTGTTCAGTTTTAACTAGTCTTAGTAACAAGTGTTCAGTTTTAACTAGTCTTAGTAACAAGTGTTCAGTTTTAACTAGTCTTGGTAACAAGTGTTCAGTTTTAACTAGTCTTAGTAACAAGTGTTCAGTTTTAACTAGTCTTAGTAACAAGTCTTCATTTTATACAGTTTCATTAACAAGTGTTATTTCAATAGTCTTGGTAACAAGTGTTCAGTTTTAACTAGTCTTGGTAACAAGTGTTCAGTTTTAACTAGTCTTGGTAACAAGTGTTCAGTTTTAACTAGTCTTAGTAACAAGTGTTCAGTTTTAACTAGTCTTAGTAACAAGTGTTCAGTTTTAACTAGTCTTGGTAACAAGTGTTCAGTTTAAACTAGTCTTAGTAACAAGTCTTCATTTTATACAGTTTCATTAACAAGTGTTATTTCAATAGTCTTGGTAACAAGTGTTCAGTTTTAACTAGTCTTGGTAACAAGTGTTCAGTTTTAACTAGTCTTGGTAACAAGTGTTCAGTTTTAACTAGTCTTAGTAACAAGTGTTCAGTTTTAACTAGTCTTAGTAACAAGTGTTCAGTTTTAACTAGTCTTGGTAACAAGTGTTCAGTTTTAACTAGTCTTGGTAACAAGTGTTCAGTTTTAACTAGTCTTGGTAACAAGTGTTCAGTTTTAACTAGTCTTAGTAACAAGTGTTCAGTTTTAACTAGTCTTAGTAACAAGTGTTCAGTTTTAACTAGTCTTGGTAACAAGTGTTCAGTTTTAACTAGTCTTAGTAACAAGTGTTCAGTTTTAACTAGTCTTAGTAACAAGTCTTCATTTTATACAGTTTCATTAACAAGTGTTATTTCAATAGTCTTGGTAACAAGTGTTCAGTTTTAACTAGTCTTGGTAACAAGTGTTCAGTTTTAACTAGTCTTGGTAACAAGTGTTCAGTTTTAACTAGTCTTAGTAACAAGTGTTCAGTTTTAACTAGTCTTAGTAACAAGTGTTCAGTTTTAACTAGTTTTAGTAACCAGTCTTCATTAAAAATTACTGTAAAATCATATATTTTCGTTGGACTCATTTTCTGTGATTTTCATAATAACTTCCTTTCTATTTCGTAGACACTTGGTTTTGTGGATAATAGATCTCAAAAAATCTAATTCTATTTATTCAAGGATATGTGAGTTCATGAATTAAGAGTGATCATGAAATCAACGAAAATAAATCCCTCCACACGCACGAAAATTAATGATCATACAGAAGTATACAAAGTTTATTTATTCAATTATTTATTTATCTGAGTGTTAATTTAAGTTCACTTAAAACGAAACGTGCTTCTTATATTTCAGACAGAATCTGCTGCCCGACAGCATGTGGAGGAACAGTCTGCAGTAAGTTAAAAAAAAACTTATTCTCTAAATGGTTTTACCAAAGTGTTTTCCATGAATTAATTAAATTTCGAAACTGACGTAAATTTTTCACACTTACTTACTTTTAATACCGTTTAACAGTTTAAAACAAGGAGTTCTATTGGTATAACTGGACAGAGATGTAACTTTTGATGGGTAAGCTAACTGCATACTATTTTCAAAACATATAAAGAGGGGAAAACGTTTACTTTCACAAAAACAACCGGAATGTAATATGGTTTTGGTTTCCTTAGAATATTCTTTGGTTTGTTATTTTGTTTTATGATGGCACCGTAATTGAAAAGACTGACATGGATACTCAGAAATCTACGTACATTGTCAACTATTTGAACCGTCATATTACGTTTAAAATCTTTAATATCCTCCGAATGGAATCAGATCAGCTACTATCTTTTAATCGGTTAAATGTAAAAATGAGTTGATCAATATCTCAGACAAGAAACTCGTCATACGGTTATGAGATCTTGTATTATTGTTTTCAATTTCTTGTCAGTCTTAGATGTAAAACATATGTATTCCCCTTATCAATCCCCACTGTTGCCATGGTAATTAACGTTTAAAGTTGGGCCAGGCGAGAAACTCGTACTATTCTCAATGATAAGGAATATTGCCCTTCACTATTGAAGTGAGTGCAAATGTATTTGACAGACTTTTGTCTTCTTATTTTGTGAACTCTACAATACAAACGTTTTCGTTTAGTATTGATAAATTGGTACAAAAAAGGGAATGCAAGTTCAGAATAAGATCAAGTAGAGGCCATAATGAAATAAACTGTATCTTGGACCTGTTTCTAGGAAACGTGATTGACAAAATACCAGTATTGATCATTTGATTCTTTTTTATGAAGCGTTTTTTGGTAGATTTGATGAATTAAAATGCGAAAGGGAAACTTTTTAATTTTTTAAGCGGCTTAGTCCATGCGAAACATATATAATTGCACGGAAGCATATATTTATACTGAAATCAATATCAATGTTTTTAAGCATTCATGCTAGATTTGAATTATTCATAAAATGACTGGGTTACAATGCATACCAGCAAGATATACGACATATGTATATCAATTATCCTAGTATTTATTATGTACAAGGAAAATATATGCATACAAGACATTACGTTTTACAATTGGGACTCAAATTTGGTCGTCAAAAATATGCATTTCCATTGGCACTCAATTTCGTGTATAAAACTTACTCTAAATCTACTAAAGTTCATTTAAATTATTATCTGATAAAGATTTCGTAGACATATGAATTTATTGATAAGTAATACCCACCTCCCTCCCAACCTCACGAAAATGGTTGAATTTATAGTAGTAAGCTCCGACTATTCCAAGAAATAGTCAAAATATGAACAAAAGTAAGAAAAAACGTCACCTCCCATTTCATGCGAAAACTATATAGACATACGCAGAGCATAGTAATTCAGACACACTCAGGGTTTTCCTGTCCTGTTTGGGGATTAGCAGTTTACACTGTATGCGGTTACTGCGTGGTCTTAAAATATGTATGTAACCAATGTGTATTCGTAGCGTCATGAAGATTTTGATTTTTTTTTTTTTTTTTTTTACAGAAAAGCCTGTTTCACTTCCGGATCCCAATCCCCTTCCCACTCCATGCCCCCCTGATGTCCCAATGGCATTTTGCACGTTTATCCCATGTGAGAAAGAGACGTGTCCGAACCATCCTCAGGCGAAATGTGTGTAAGTAAATATCTTTTTTACGTCTTATATATCATTATGTATTTTTGTATTATTTTCTTTAAAGAAGCAACTTCCTCCGAATGTAAACAAAAAATAAAACTCTCGTGACAATATAATTTTCATTTTTTTTTTTTAACCAAATGAAGATTTCACTGTCTATCAGTGATGTTATGGGCATAGAAATGTATTGAAAATAAACTTATCAAGCATAAAGTATGCGCAGGTAATCCTTGTATTTAAAGTCGATTTTTTTTTTTTTTTGTATTTAATAACGAAGTTGTTTTGACTACCGTATTAATGTAAAGTTATTAACTTTACTACTGTAGAAAAACACAAATTTTTCCTTTAGTTTTATTTCTATAAACTAAAATAGTTTCATTTAAAAAGCCAACTTAAATTCCCAATCATTCTGATAGTTTTTCTGTTTATTCTTCAATTCGCACAGGATTTTATTTTCCTTTACTCGATTTATTGGTTATAGAAGTTGATCATAAATATTTGTTTTTGATAATGAGATGATAACCAAATCGACATGACGTTTTTACCTGTCATTGGTAAAAAAACTGGTTACAGCTCAGTGATCATCAGTCATACTCATTTCCCTTCTCTTTCACAGAGACAATTATTGTGGAGGCTGTAACGCAAAATTCTACCTAAACGGACGTGATGTGACAAACACATGTAAACAAACAAGAAGTTTGCCAAAACCTTGTAAAGACGGAAAACCAAGAGTGAACTGCTTTCTGAACCCCTGTGACGTACAACAGTGTCCTCTTTTTCCACGTGCTACTTGTGTGTAAGTATAGTCATCCCTTTGTCATCTAAAGAGACGTGCAGATTTGTTTCAATTACGATCAATTGTTCTATAGTTATTTTATCCGAATGCCTAATTCTATCAGATAAATGTTCGTTTGAAAATATCACCCTGATTGTTCTCGCTTTCTTGATCGGGTCTGTCGTTTCCATTTGCATTAAAGTGTCGGTTAAACACAGCTGGGCGATTATAGTGATCAGTGTGGTATCTTTTACATTAAATGGCTGAATGTTAAAGTTTATAAAACATATAAGTATATACAAACAGATAATACAGGGGAAACATTTGAGAAAAGAATTTGATTGGGTCAGTTTAGACTTGTCTGAAGAGATGAAACTTATTGTCATGGCGAGGATAAAGAAACATAACTTCTTTAAGACATCGTCATATGAAAATTAAGAGGAATATTGGGGCACCTTACCTTACTGCCAATATTAAACATTGTACACATTAGGATACCCTAATTCATGGCGGCCGTCTAATGATGTCCTCACCAATTCTAAATCATTTGAAGACGGATGATCCAATCTTCGAAGTTAACTCTTGCATTTCACATTTAGGCATTTAACACAGGCTAATAACTATTATTTTAGTAAACCATAAAGTTGAAGTTGCGTTTCTTTTTCCGCGCAGTTTTGGTCCAAATTTTAGCGTATCTTGTAAATGTAAATAAATGCGTTCATGCGGTAAAGCACCATGCAGAGACTGGTGAAGGTGTGAAACAATTAGACCAACGTAATGATTTAAGCTTCAAAATTCTTGAAAAAAGTTTTGCTAAAAACCTAAATGTGTGTATTTATTTGTGCAGTTTATAATTTGATTCTGTTCCGATAGACAGAGTGATTAAAATATGAAAGTTTTATAGAATACTGCACAGGTTATTTTTTTCATTTGTTTAATTTTTCGCGGCTTCATAACAAGCTTGATCCATAAAAGAGTCATCAAATGAAAAATGCTCCGCCATCCCACCAATTTTGTTAACAATCTGATCTCCTTCCAATGTTACACAGAGGCGGTAAGGCTAAAACGTAAAGGTTATATATCCGTGTGCTGTTGTCACAGTGTGTGCTTCTGCATTGTTTAAACATAGGTAATCACATTATTTGCCTTTTTTTTACAGGGCTGATTATTGTGGTGGATGCAACGCAAGGTTTTTCTTTAACGAAAAGGAAGTGACAACAGCTTGTATAAGACCGCGATTGTACAATATTTTTAAGTATAACTTTTAAGAAATTAATATAATTCAAGTCAAACTGAAAATATTTCACAAACATGGTATCAAGCCCTGTGAGATATGATGAAAATTAATAGGTTGAGCAGGATTTCTTCAACAACACTATTCGTTTGGAGGGTCCATGAGAATTGGTTATCGTCGGAATGCAAGGATAATGACATGGCTTGTGGATGTAATTTATGAAAATATGACTCGTGCAATATTTCCCAGTCAATAATAGACGGATTTCCAAAGTAGTACAGGGTTTTTACTCGATCTTATAATGTCTGTAAGTAGTCAGCTTGTTAAAGATGTATCAGCAGAATGGATGATCTATGGATAATGTTAAAAAGTGATTTTCTGGATATGATATTTATGAACTTTTCATAATGTCCCAAATATCGGTATGCTATTGCAGGTGTTAGTTTTACCAACTAGTTTTTTTTTTCTTTTATGTATCATTTATGTTCATGCTGCATATTTTAGTGTAGAATTTTAGCAATTCAAAACGAAGTCTTCATGTTTACATACATATCGGCACATGATGAAGGAACAATTAATAAAATTTAGTGGCTACAGATCAAATAATTCCGGATTTTCATAAATCCAGTTTGCTTACTTTAAATGAAAAGCAAATAATGCACTGATTGTTTTCATCTGTACAATATTTGAAAACTTTTCTAGATTTAGTCTCTTGTCAGCAATAAATATTGTTCATTATATGTCAATCGTTTCAGATGTTTTTATCAGAATGTAAACTGTAAGCTTATATACTGTAATCTTTATTTAGCACATTTTGCGTTAAAGATATCGAGCTAAATCATTATTTTGCTAGTTGCAGATTCTGTTTATAGTTAATAAAACAATTATTGAGAGATATGAGCTAAAGTATCATTTTGCTAGTTGCAGATTCTGTTTGTAGTTAATAAAACAATTATTGAGAGATATGAGCTAAATTGTTATTTTCCTAATTGCAGTTTCTGTGTGTTTATATGTATGTGTATGTATAACTATCTATTTATCATTTATGTGAGCCAAAATCATTTTAAATGAATACGATACTTTGATGATAAATTAATGCTGACGTTATAAGAAGGGATTTTCACACGTCGTTTTCACGAAAATGTGTGTCGTGTGCAAAAATATGTCTCATAATGTCAAACTCGAAAGAGATTTTAATGATAATTTTGTTTTGACGTCAAATATTTTACAAAAAATAAATTTCTTATGCTTATAATATGTGTTATCATATAGAGACAATGTAAGTACGGATCATGATGCATAGGATTAAGTTAAGACAGCTCTGTAAATATAAGTATATTTAGAGGGAGAGAACAGCTTGTCTGGTGTCTTCGGCATGATCATTGAAAGGTAACAATCAGTTAAACACAATCTAGCACCCCTAACACCATACACAGACTGACATGTCGGTAATGACAGGCCAAGCAAACATTTGAATTACAGTATAGGTGTTTCACGAGGTTCATACTGTCCAGGATGAAGAGATATACTGTTTTCTCTACTCCGCCTTAGAGAAGTCAAAAGGAGATCAGTTTTTTTTCCATATACATTCTTTGAGTCTTTGATTTCCTGTTTATCTGCTGCTACTGAAATTTTTAATAACTAGGAATATATTGAAATTAAATTCCTCGAGAACATTACCAACTCTACAATAATTTGTTAGAACAATGGAATGTATATGACATATATAAGAAACCAAACATATTCCGCTGAAGAACTAGTTTAATGACAGCAATGTGTATGCAAGTACTTAATATTATATTGTAATTTGGTCAGGTTACGAAATCACATTTCCTACACTCAAAAATCAAACGACATATAACGCCTTATGTACATTGTGGTTCTGTTGCGTCCCCAATCAGTCCTGAAACAAGAAATTGACATGTCACAGTTTAAAGCCATCGATATCGTAAAATAAAAACAATAATAGTAGTTATGTGGGCAAGACGCTGTATCTTAGCAGCGCCAATTACTACAATGACACAAAACACAAGAAAATACCAACATATCATCATAATCATAATCCAAACTCCAATTCAACAAAACGAGTGCAGAATATGAACAAAAGAAAAATTGACACGGAGACACATGAAAGCTCAAGGCGAATAAGACCATGTGTTCCGTAATAGTGAGCGTTTTCTGCTTCATCGACGACACCCGTCATGTGAACATTGGTCAATCTAAGTAAGTAAGGGCCTTTGCTGTTTAGCTAAGAAACAAACAGTGCCAGTTATTAAAGACAAAAGACACCTACAAATGAGAAACACCTTTAATGATGTATATATATTGTATTACCTAGGTTTAAATAAAATCGCAAAATTTTGCACCATTGAAAAACATCAACTGTATATCATCTCGGCATAGATTGTTTGATACAGTATGACAATGGCCAGTATGAGAACTACATCATTATAACAAACACATTACCTTGTAATTCATGATTTGTCATATTCTATCTATGTGAAAAACAACAAAATAAAACCGGCATGTTAACAGAATTGTTATCCATACTGGGGCAATATATAGACAAAAGAAATACTTAAACGGTAACTCCTGAAAAAACTTGTGTTTGGATATCCCTATTCCAATGTGAATTTTAGAACAAGCCATTGAAAAGTCTGTTCCTATCCAGAAACAAAAACCCATTGATATGAAATTTTGGTGGGTATCTATGATAGTTATGGTATTATCATTGTTATTTAAAGACACGATGTGAAAGTGAAATTTATTGAGGGTTTCGCAAGGACTTTGTGACCTGTTTTCATAAGCTCTTCGATAAATGCTGTCTCGTTTGAAAACAATAGTAAGGTATTATCAATCGCAAATTCAGTAAATTTCTTGATTACGTTCTCTGTATATATCTTCTTTGAATTTTATCTTTCACGTAGTACACTTCACAACCATGTCTTTGTACCGCCGTTTACCTTTGTTTGAAAAAGAGAGCTCAACATATGATGTCGATGTTTGATTTGACAATTATTTCATTTTACAAATGCGCATTCGAATCTTTTAATGCCTTATATTATATGGATGGGCAATACATGCAGCCATTAACAGAAAAAAACAATGGAACTTTTTGTCTAATATGGCAGCCAGATACACATATTTCGCAGATGACATTTATAAAATTCTTCTTGACATGTAATAGAAAACTTAATACAAAAGGCTAGTATCTTGTGTACTCGACATTACCACACTGCTTTGGGCACTAATCTTTAACTATGGTCTACTCTTCCAGTGAATACAGTGACATATGTCGATAAACAAGAACCAATCACTCTAGTGTTTCCAAATGATGACAAATGTGCAGACATTGTCTGGTTGATATGGTCAGTCCAGAGGATGTCAATGGTTAAAACATGGTCGTCTAGATATCCATATCTGTACACATGCGCATAAAAACTTACCAGAATGAGTACGTAACATCTGTTGTCAAACATAGGTCACCTCTGAAGATGACCTGATTATTTAATACGTACCAACTTCCGGTGCTAATTTCAGAATCATTTCGCCTACAGGAAAACACCATGCACACCAGCCGTCACATGCAGCTGTCACGTGTGCGTTGTTATTGGAACGGATGACCTCTTCAATCCTCCCTCCGTACCCGTATGTCCTCCATTGTAACTATAAGGGAATGGTGTATGATTTGCAATATGTACAGACAACGGACCTTCTTTTATATCGGAAATTATCAGCTAGTTATACATCATAAACAAAACAGCAATACGAGAATAAGCGTTGCCTTCATGTACAATGTAGCTACCAGTTGTATTTGTTATATCAAATAGATGGTCTTTTAAAACGACTTTTTGTGATTCTTTTAACAATTTAAACATCAAACTAAACAAAACTGACAATACTGTTGTCCTTACACATGTGTTCCACAGGATCACTTGTTCATGGTTATCACACAAATTTTTTTGCAGAGCGAATATATCACAGAAATATCTTATTATAAAAGCAGTTGCTAATACGTCCGCTAACTGATTGACTATTTTTCGGGAGTCACAAACCATTTAGAAAAAAATATTAAGATATTACCCTAACACGTCTCATACTAATTTTCAGTTGCACAGCGTTACCTCGGGATCAACCACTAGGCCGGTTCCTGTAGTGTCAACGACGAAACCCCCAGGGGCGATGCAGTCCCTATAATTCCTATACATATAGTCCCAGGAACACCCTCCGCCGGCTCCAAATTTCGTCGGCTCCTCATGATTCGGTCTTTCAACAATGATGTCTGCGAATTGGAAGTCATACCTTTGCACAGACATGTCCTGAAAAAATCATGATGTTTCTCTTCTCCATTAATGATGCTAATTGTAATCCTTCTACTGGGATACGCGCAATCGCAATGGCACAATTACAGTCATTAATTACATTCTGACTCTACATTATTTTTAGTAGATTTGCATTATTATTTATCATATTAACAAACAAATTTAATAATATTAAAAAAAAACTTTTACTAAATGACTATGACGTAAATACACTGAAACCTCGCATAAAGACAACCTCAAAATTAAGACAGCCTCTCTATTGAGACCACTTCATTTTAGTCACCCAAAAATTGTCTATATATCTTTGTATTGAAAGCTTCACCATGAAGACCATCTAGTAATAGAAACCAGTTTTAAAAGTCCAAAAGACCCATTACACTAATCAGATTTCTGACGGGTCACAAAGTTACCAGCTGGTGCTTATCATCACGTGTTCATCTGTCTAAATCATATTTCGGTATGTAAATGTCTTCCATGCTGCAGTTGCTCTATGTTTAAGGTTCTAAAACCAATAACTGGACAAAAGAGGCGATAAGCAGACCACCCTATTATTAAGAATTTCGTCTAGTTCCAAGTTTGATTTAATAGTGAGGTTTCACAATATACAATAAAAATGGGTATATAATGGACAATGTTGCTATTCTGAATTAATTATTGTAACCTTTTCTTTTCGATACCACTTCATTATGCATCGTTTATTTTACCTAATAAAGATGTTCGAACCTCCAGTACTTGGAAGCGTGAATAAAAGACCAAATAGGAGAGCTATCTGATTCTTATCATTCATAATGCGAATCCTTCATCACGCTTGATCAGTGTATATCAGTCGTACATCCTCGAGAGGGATGTGATGTTTCTTTAGCATATTTTTCGCTCCCGTCGAGTTCCAGCATTCATGTATTGTGTGCTTGGATTGTCTTCTTAGTGTTAAAGATGCCATCGGCATGGTTGTTCCGTGTGTAGTTGAATTTTCAATTAATCTGGCTTATTTCGCTTATCTAGCTTATTTTGCAAGTTGGTATGTCTGGTATGTTTGGGATAATTGATATATTTGGTATGTTTTGCTTGTTTTTTTTGTTTTTTCGTGTCTTTTACATACCCATTTAAGATTTTAAACATTTGTCTTTTACCTTTTGGTTTGTTTAATGTTATTTCCTTTTGGATCACAGTGTGTTTTACCGTTTGATGGCCCTAATGATCTTTTATGTGTTGACGGGCCGTTAAGAATGTAATTTTTTTTTTTTTTTCACTTTTCTTGCCTGTTTCGATTGTCTAGTTTATTGTGACTTATCGGGATCGTTTGGCTTACTTTCCTCACCTTGGTTATTTCCCTTTACTGCCTTATTTGGTTGTTGCACGTTTAGCTTCTTTGACTTGTTTACCTTATTTCGCGCAGAAGCGAACCTTCACGTACAACAACCCTCTTTCAAGATGACATCGTAAAATTTAGCCGACAATCCAAATACACATGGTATAAGCATGCCGAAATTCGATGCCTTCGTAAATCTAACCTACCAATACAAATACTCACGGCGTAAGCATGCCGATTATTGAGGATACCGTGAAAATCCAAATACACACGGTATAAGCATGCCAAAATTCGATGCCATCGTAAAACTAACCTGACCAACGGGCCAAAACTCAAGGATACTATGAAAACTAACCCGACAATCCAAATACACACGGTAACAGCACATGCGATACTCTATGATGTTGACAATTAAATACACGATGTCTCAGGATATCAGGTGTTTCTTTAGCTTTTCCCCCTACCATGACGCTCCAACCAGATTGCTGCCAGGGATGGCAGATATTTTTAATAATGCATCATGGGAACGCAAACTGTACTATAGAAACAGCGCATCTCTCCCTTGAGAATTCAGAACTCTGCATTCATCCAAATTGAAGCGGAGTTTTTTTTTACCTTAAATAGTCTTTTGTCCATTGTCAAAAACATCAATATAGGATCAAACGTTCATAACATTATTTCTGATCTCTATACAATTTTAGAAGTTGAGACTACAGGTCGCCTTACTAGCATCACCTCGTAGAGGATTTCATTTTAATCGAGAGGTAGAGTGTCCGGTTACATACCGAAGGGTCGCTAGTTTGAACCGGGGGGTGGCAGAATATTTTTCCATAACTCCTTCCTATTACAATTTTTAAACAATGAATAAAGAAAAATTTGTTTTAAGGAAATGAGACAACCCCTGTAGAGCTCAAATGTCGAAACGAAATACATCACAACAGTGACAAATTTAACTTTTAGCCATACATGAACGTTACCTCGACATCGATCCGAATTTTATGGAAGGTCGACACTGCATCACCATCTCTGTCTCGGAATCTGCAGTAGTCGTTGTCGTATCGGAGAGAGTAGTTGTACGTAGCGGTGTTAGTGTTATGTAAGGTGATATATTCCTTAGGGTCAGGGCCGCCCATCCCTCTGCAGTAGACCTTGACCTTTTGACCTTCCAATACTCTCGGGTAAATGAAGTATTCACCATCTCCGTATTGGTCATTGCAATTCCTCACCGCCTGGCAGTCTACGGGATCTTTTGAATAAAAATTATCAGCATTATTGTAACGGTGCACGACCACATCGCCATGGCTCAAAAGATAAAAGCTGTTGGGATTTTCAATTATTTGTTTTAATGTAATTAGATGTGTTTAGTTGTAACAAATATCGGGAACACCTTGTAATATAATTTAGAAAAGCATAATTATATTTCATTTGTTTAGGTGGCTACATTTAAATAAACTAAGACAATACATAAGCTAAATAGTTATTCCTGAGCTATGAACTGTGAAAGATGTGTATAATATTTTTTTAGCCTTACCAATGTTTAACAGTAAAATTGGCCTTCTGTCTACTCGAGAATGTTTTTATCGTAACATTACATGTCTAAAATCTCTTTTTGAAACTGTTGAGATTTGTAAAATTCTACATCACTGAAAGATCTTGGTCTATATAATAGACATACCATTTTAATCTTTTGTGTTAACATACCCATTTAAGATTTTTAACATCTGTCTTTTACCTTTTGGTTTGTTTAATGTTATTTCTTTTTGGTTTGCTGTGTATTTTACCGTTTGATGGCCCTAATGACCTTTTATGTGTTGACGAGCCGTTCAGAATGAAGTAATAATAATAATTATTAACAGTAAATAATTCATTTCGTTACATACAGAAGAACGACTGTCACAGCAAAGGACGTGTATTTACGTGTGCATGAAACCAAAACATACAGAACAATGAGGTCTCTTACATTAATATCGATGTAATATGAAATCCATTCAAACATTTCAATCATTTTATGTCACGAGCACTTAGGCGTGTTACATATCAAATTAAAAAAACAAGTTTAATATATTTCATATTACATCGACAGGAGTATTAGATTCCATTTATCATATAACTCGTATTTCTGAAAAAAATAAGCTAAATATCCCTATAACACATACTCATTTCGACGTAGACGGCACTTTTGCACTACCGAGACAATCATATTACGTCACCATGATGTGACTTATTTATGACGTCACAATAGTGTTATTACACGTGTCTTAGTATATTTACAAAATGTCAGTATGACATAAAACAACAAGAGAGCTAAATCTGTAGCGAGTATTCATTTCCCTGTTTACTGAACACTGTATATAGCCCTAATATGTTTTCATTGAACCGACCTGGACTTATACATGGAAACGTAATTTTGCTAAAGAACCTGCCGTTAAGATAATTTGTTCATTAAATAGTTTTAGGTTTTTGACGATCAACAAAATAAAGTCACATTGCTAATAGTTTATGCCGTGTACAGAATTTTATCCAAGTGTACCTACTTGTAGCTTCCGGATTCCGGAGACTGATGTCGCTTGCTCTCTCAGTGAGGCTGGTTACAGCTCCACTCATATCAGCTAATTTACCGGTCAGTTTATTAAGGTCACGGATCATTTTCTCTACATTCATGGTACTTTGTTGATTTTCCGCCCGTGTACGAAGACTAGCAATCATTCTCTTCTCTAACAGAGCCTGTGCCTTTGACAATGTATCCATATTTCTCCGTAAATCTCCTAACTGTGTAATCAAATCATCCATGTCGTTCCGCACCTGCTCATTTCCTGAACTTCCGGTTCCGGTTTCTTCAAATAAACCATTTAGCATGTTTTTGGATTCAGTGAGAAGGTGTGTTTCCAGACTATCAATCTGGTGATCGAATAGGTCAGACCAATCGAACTCCTGCGACATTCTCTGCATTTTCCCCGACTTTGACTTACTTTTAAGAGACAACTTACCGTCTGCCATATTGACCTTTATCAATATGAATACGAGAAAAAGGGAAATAAAATGAGAAACCTCCATGTTGTTCTAGCGTTCAGCATCTAACCGCTGACTGTGTGAGGCACATACGCTTTATAAATAACGACTCGTCAATGACTTTGACCTTAAAAACGTAAAATTGTGACATTTTGTGTCGGGGCACTTTTCACCCTATAAAGTCTGAAGTCCGTAAACACTTACCCAAATCATTCAGTTATATGTGTTTTATACAAACTAGTAACAAAAATAGTTTAGTAATTACAAATATAGATTTATTATCGTCCGTAAATGTGAATCTTTATTATTTTGGAACCAACTACAAGAAAAAATGTCTTGGAGGCGTCCATAACGCGTGTTTACAATCATATATTGGTATATTCATGTTGAAGAATATATTTTATAAAATGTTGCCAAATATAGTATTTTTATTTTTTGTTCCATATACTCATGTAGAACAGTGTGACTATGCCATATCCAGATGACCGATGTGTTAAGAAAATCATAGGTAATTTTTCCAAGAAACAAAATCTCGAAGCTCGTGATTCATCTTCGTCACACAAGGTAACTAAAATAAAGGTAGCATTCACTGTCACCAACATTTGAAGTAAACATTAGAAAGATGACATTAAGCTATATTCGGTGCAGAAAAAATAAGATTTAGCTATGTAGCTTATTTGTTTTCACGTATTTTATGCATATAGTCGCCGCTTTTTCCGTTCGTCCGTCCGTCCGTCATGATTTTTTCAGGAGCATATCACAAAATCTATAAGATGCATCAACACGAATCTAGGTAGATAGATCTCGATAAGGAGAATTGCATTGTGCAAGAACGATAACTCTCTTTTGCATATTTTAGGAGTCATTGAAACTTGGTGTATACATACTAAGAAAATGTGCAGTGTATCGAATTCAGAGCTTGCAGCTTCTTACGTACATAATTATTGCCCTTTGGTTAAATCATATGTCCAATAAAGTAGTTTTCGGGGAGTATTAGTCAGTTTTGTCGATACTTTTGTTTAAGGATAACAATAATTATGAATCAAATTTGGTCACAAAATACCGGGCAAGATTTGACCAAGAGTTAAATTCCGTTAACACCGCAACAGTTTTAGTAAAGTATTTCAAGTGGTAACGCCATCTCTCTAAGGCACTTACACATAATAGTGCTTTTATCCTGCACTTGAATACAGGTTACGTTGTCATATAATATATAAAGCCGGTATATTTCGAGAATGGGGATGGGGTTGATGTCTGGTCTAAAGCGTAGTTCCTCTTTGAACTCGTGTTGAGGAACTATCGAAGATGAAAATCTGATCAGTTGAAATGATGGCGATGGTAGAGAGTAAAAGGAGAGAAAAAGTGGGGTTTAATTTGTGAACTATTGAAGTAAGGAGAGGTGATACCAATAGACAGTGGAGGGGCCGAAATTGTTGTGAGGGTGTGGGGGGAAAAGGGAGGAGTAATAGGGTGGTGAGTTTGTTCCATCGGAAATAAGAAGTGGTGATAGTACTAGACAGTGTAAGGGCCGGGTTGCAGAGCGTAAAGAAAGGATGCAGGGAAGCGGTGGTGATGAAAGTTCGGAGTGGTGATACTTCAGGTTGTCGGCTGGTGCAGTGGTAACGCACTCACCTTTCACCTAGACATTCTGTTATGAGTTTTAATATTTTGTATCGAAATTATTGTGAAAAAAAGTTTAGGTTTTGTTACTATATAGTACAGGGTACAAGTCGTAGTGAGGGTAGAGAGAGAAGGAAAGGGGGGGTAGTGACGTGAGTGTGTGGGTTATGGAAGTAGAGATAATGATATTAGTCTACTAGATGAAGGTGCCCGGGTCGTAGTGAGGGTAGAGAGAGAAGGAAAGGGTAGTGACGTGAGTGTGTGGGTTATGGAGGTAGAGATAATGATATTAATCTACTAGATGAAGGTACCGGGATCGTAGTGAGGGTAGAGAGAGAAGGAAAGGAGGGGTGTGACATTGGTTTGTGGGTTATGGAAGTAGAGATAATGATATCATTCCATTAGATGAAGGTGCGGGAGTCATAGTGAGGGTAGAGAGAGAAGGAAATGGGCTTAGTGACCTGAGTAAGTCCTTAACATACCCGGCTATTTTCGAATCAATGACACCAATAGCAATATCGGAATATCGGATTCGACCGTTCCAAAAAGTAATAGCACTTGGTGAGCATCATCTCCGGATTATTCATGACAAGTTTTAGATCAATCACACCTGTGGAACTAGAAGTGTGAAGTAGGTAACCATGAGTGGTAGTTCCTCATCATAAAAACTTCAACATAATTTTTATTTGCATCTGTGTTTGCATAATGACAAATAAAGTATGAAAACCATGGAAATTTCACATTAATTGACAACGAAAACTACGTATAAAAAGTTTGACGAAAGAACTGCTTTAATTTTTTTTTACACACCTGCTAGGTTAGCACCAACACTTCTCATCCTATATCATTTTTTGAAAAATTAACCATACATACCCTTAATATGAGCAATTGGAAAGTATTTTGTCCAAAACTACATGCGGAATTCAAAAGAGAACTTCATCGTTTTACTAGTTTATAATGACACATTATTTTGATCTAAGATAAGCCGAAGAGATGTCAATACAATTTATTTACTCGTGTATGACAGAGTTATCGGACTTACATCTTAATCATTTTTTGAAAGTTCAACATTGCAGTTATTTATAGACAGAGATATACAACATGAGCGACATGTCATATTGAATAAATCAATCGAGTTCAATAATTTGCTTCATCACAATCTGAGTGTCGTAATTTACTTAAGACGCCATAACAATAGTGTATCACATGACAGAATGACAACGCTATAATCAACATTATTATAATGAATACAATGATTGTATATGTTAATGTCCAAGATATTCTCCTGTCTGTCAAAAATACTAATTTAGTAGAGTAAGGAAGTGGGGGGGAATATATACCAGTGATATATTCGTTTATGCTAAATTTTCACTTGGCGTATGAGGGGGTCAGACGTATACACGCTTTTATCTTTAAATGTTTATGTCTCTTTATCTATTCTGAAATTATTTATTTATTTCATTAAGTGATATTAGTCATAAGCAACTATCACTGTTCCATCGTCATTTATTGCCTTGATAGACAAAGTGAACCTGATCACTGAGCCACTGAATTCACAACCTCACAGACTCAATAACTTAATACTATGTTACAACGTGATATTATCCCCAGTCACTTCATGAATACTTTCTAAAAATCAAAACATTATATAATTACACAACAGAACATTCCATCACACAAAAACATACACTTTCAATTCTTAGAACCAACATTTAAGCATTTACAACAACCATCAAAATAAAACATTTGGATTTCAAGATCATCCATCGTTGTTTTCGCGGTATATTCCAAGTCTGTCTTCAGTACAACAGCAGTGGTCAACACCTGTTGTGTCATACAGGTACACCCGTCACAGCCAATGGCCTGGCTGAAATTAGAACGCCCAATGAATAAAATAAAGAAATACTCGTATTACGATATAATGAATATATATGAATACAGATTCGAAAAAAAAACGTATTCTGAAAACGTTTCCAACCCCATTCTACTTTAATTCCATTTCATGATTAACATCTCGAATCTATTTTATCGTTTCTACAACATCGAATGAACGAAGCTTGTCATTAACTGCTTGACACAGTAGCGTCCTCCTTCTAGGACTCGTCAGTGATGCTAAGGGCCTCATTGTTAGAGACGACTATACGGAAGATCGAAAGCTTTCAAAATCAATAATTTAATAAAAAAAAAGAAAAAAAAGACTCAATCAAAAATTCAATAAATTTCATAATTTTCAATGTTTTAATTCTCTCAAAAGAACAACCGGTACATGTTTATTTTATTGAACATGCCACTATTGGAATAAATTAATGTTGATCAATATATCTGTAATGTTACTCTTTCAACAGCCCGGTGAACATTCTGAATCAACGAAAACAAACAAACAAATAAATAAAACCTTACAAAATCATCGTATAGTTTGAACTTGTGATCAGCTAAATATTTTTTAGAAGAGTTTATATAACCGAAACGGAAGATCTCTTGTGGTAAATAAGGGTTCGCTGGTGTCCGCTGCGACGTAAAGATAGGATACGCGGAAAACATCTTTTGTGGTAAAAAAAAAACATTCGCTAGTGTCCATTGCGACGTCAAGATAGGACACACGGAAAATATCTTGTGGTAAATAAATATTCGCTGGTGTCCGTTGCGACGTAAAGATAGGATAAGCATCGTTAGTGTCTATTGCGACGTCAATATAGGATACACGGAATATCTCTTGTGGTTAAAAAAATTATTCGCCTGTGTCCATTGCGACGTCAAGATAGGAAAGAGGGAGGGGATATCATTTGTGGAAAATAAACATTTTCTTTCATTCATTGCGACGTCGAGATAATGCGGTTTTCTTCAGTGATTTGAGGGGGAAATCTGAAGATCATAACTATACAGAGTAAACAAAATTAAGGTTATAGCTCTGAATATTTCAATGAATGATAATACCTTTACATTTTAAGGGCACATGTACTAATTCTATCTATTCAGGTAATTACCTAACGTAAAGAAAATATCGTTTTTCCTTAAAGCTTGTGAATCTATGTTGAGTTTCCGACATTCGGTTTCGTAAACAAGCTGAAGACGTTTACCCTTAAAGAAGACCAGGACATATTATCCTTGTCCTTTTCAGGGGTCATCTTGATTTTTTTTGTCAAACTATGCTTTAGATTCATCGAAATTGCAATCAATATGGTTCTGTTAATAAACAGGATATTTGTATATTAAGTCAACATAAAAATGGATACTTTTTTCTCCAAAATCATCTTCCATTTGAACTGTTCGTTCAAATCAATAAGAACAATCAAGATTTCGAATGTTAAGTCTCGTCTTGCACTTAAAAACAAAAAACATACCTGCAGTTCTCAACTTGAAATAACTGTCTCGTGTTTGTGAGCTGTATCAAAGTTCTGGAATGTCCCTCAATAGTTCTCAGTGTCTTGGGACTTATATGATAGAAGTTTCTGGAAAAAGACGATATCTCTTACATGTTATGTTTCACATAAAAAGAAATTAATCTCCGAAATAGTCAGTTACAACAATGTACTCTATAGACCGTAACTATTTTATTATCATAGAAATTGATAGAAGATTGTACAAAAGATTCCCAAGTAAATAACGTCTTTCAATACAAAAGGACAATGCATTATAAGTAGAGAACAAAGATTTGCTTATGAAACACAATGTCCCCAGTTGCAACAAAATTCTGAAGTGGGACATTAAAACTGTATTTAATCCAAGATTCAATGGACTTCAAAATTTTCAATATTTGACTTATTATTTATTTCAATAGAACATCGAATACATGTGTATATTATAGAACATGCCTCTATTCTAATATATTAATGTCGGTCACGCGTTCCCGTAATCCGTTTCGTTTTATAGAATGCGTAATCAACATCCGGTTTTGGAGTGTTTTTGTTTTTCACAAGAAGAGGCTTAGGGATAAGAATGGGGAATTTCGCAAGCGAAATAAAATTGATAAGATCGTTATATTAAATACGTATAGAGATTCATGATGGTCACTTGGCAGATGTAGAAACAAGGATATCTGTGTTAATGACTTTATACAGAGCTTAAACTGTTATAATTCCAACAAAAATAAAATATGGCTTTCTTACTTTCTTTTTGTAACGTATTCGATTGAGATCATAGATAGAACTTGAAAAACGGATTGAGAAACTGGTAACGAAACGTTGAAAAAAATCCGGTCTGATATTAAGTCATGTTTGTACCTTTTGAAATGAAAATGATGTATGGTGTTATAAGTTATTATTATATATCAATACTGTTTTACACCCGTAGAAATGTTAATGTCTGTGTTTCTCTGGAGTTGCACAACTGAGAACTGAACACAGGTAAAGGAAATGTACCAGGCGTTCTGTGTGTAGCTACCCGAAATGTACATCCAACTACAACACCTCGCAATTTCTCTGCTCAGTGGCGCCTTGATTCTTTTTCAAATTTCAAATATTTTAATTTTTCATTTACTAGGGTTGTCCCTATCGACGTTATTTGTTCAAACTGATTTTTTAAATGTTGACAATACTTTGAAAAGTCTAGAAGTCTAAGACTACAAAAGCCATCTGAATGGCATGTTGCAATACAAGTTTGGAATTAGATAGTCAAATAATTAAATAAAATTCGAGGAATAGACAGTGATGTAATAGCATACAGCTGTTTCGTCCTCATTGACTCATCGGTGATATTTGGGGCCTAAATATTGAAACCAATTAGTACTAAGAGGTGCTATTCGCATAAGTGACTTTTGTACAACCTTTTAGATAACAAATTGCACTCCTTTAAACCTGTTATTGGTGAATGGTCTCAATGCTGTAGAGACAACCACCGAGACGAAGGTTTCCTTGCCCGTCTTCGGATGGGCCATACATACCTTACACATTCATATATCTTGAAAGGCGGAGATAATCCTTGGTGCATTGGATGTGATGAGCCATTCACCGTTAATCATTTTTTTATTGGACTGCAGTGACCTTCTGTCTACTTGAGAATGTTTTTATCGTAACATTACATGTCTAAAATCCCTTTTTGAAACTGTTGAGATTTGTAAAATTCAACATTACCTGAAAGATGTTGGTCTATATTATTGACTTTGACGTACCATTTTAACCTTTGTGTTTACATACCCATTTAAGATTTTTAACATTCGTCTTTTACCTTTTGGTTTGTTTAATGTTATTTCCTTGTGGATCGCTGTGTGTTTTACCGTTTGATGCCCCTAATGACCTTTTATGTGTTGACGGGCCGTTAAGAATGTAATAATAATAATAATTGAGATAACAGGTGGTAGACAAAGCTCGTTGACTTTTAGTCCCCGGGGTTTGCCTTACTTGACATTGTTCTAAAAATATCTCTAAAATGAAAATAACAATATTGATTCCATTATGGGGCTGCTGCACCTCCTCGTCTGGATTTTCCCTTTTCTTTCGATCACTTTGGATTCTCACAGTCGCCCCATTGGCTTTAAATTTAGGCCTTTATCATGACTGATGTGTCCCAGAAGGACGAAACAGCTGTATGATGCAGTTTAAATCATACTTTGATTCCATTGTGTCTAACTTAAATGTGTGTCTTTTGTACAATCTTTGCGACTCTTACGCCAATTTTGGTGTAAACTAAACACTCTTGTAACTAAGAAAACAGATATGCCTTACGACACGCAACATCCGTGGTACAGGGAATCATCTGGATACGATGATCTCTTGTCTCGTATTCTTGGCGGCCTGGATACACCTGTGATATTAGATTTGATCATTTGATCCCTCAATGTGTTCGAATGCAGTGTAAATGGCGGCTGTGTGTTGACGTTCGGAACATCTCGGATAGATGAAGTTGCTGTAGATGAATCACACGAAACACTACATGTTGATCCTATGCTGACAAATTGTCTGACTGGTTTTAATCCCTCAAGTTTTTGTTCGGTGTTTAAATCTTCGGTTTTTTCGTCAACGGTACGGAACATTCCAGGATATGCAGACATTAGTGCTTCTGGGCTTACCTTGACCTTTACATGTACTTCCGGGTAACTGTAAGTAAAGCATATGATTACTTGCCACAACAAAGGTATTTATTAAAAAGGTAAAAAAACAACAAGTAGATGTTAAATATATGTATTTGAGTTTCAGTTCAGATTCTGCTTACATGTCGGTATTTTCTTTCGTGTTTTTAAAACTGGAAACTGTAACGCATTTCAACACTAAGGACTGGTTTAAAATTTAAAGTTCAACAATATTAAAATGTGTCTTGGTTAAACTGATGTGATTCCCATCTAAAATAACATAATATTTCAATATCAACACGGTTTGCTATAAATATAATGACATTTAGGTATGAAAAAATGGGGAAAAAACTAATATATATTATTTTTATTTTATAGCATGCAAATCACTTATTTATTCGTACTTCCGGTTTAACTCCCTTAATAACAGAACAGTGACTGCAGTGATTGTGGTCATGATGAAGAAGACAAGTAGCCCCACCTGTCAAACATAAATATCAATTATATCACGACACCTGTCAAACACAAATATTACTTATACAGTGTCACTTCTCAAAGTATTACTAATATCGCGTAACCTAGAAAACACATCTGTGAAATAACATTTATGTCACTAGAATAAATTATTACTTTTATCATTTCATTTCTGTTAAATATTACTTATATCACGTAATCTCTGTTAAGTATTACCTATCTCACGTGATATCTGTTAAATATTACTGATCTCACGTGATCTCTGTTAAATATTACTGATCTCACGTGATCTCTGTTAAATATTACTGATCTCACGTGATCTCTGTTAAATATTACTGATCTCACGTGATCTCTGTTAAGTATTACTTATATCAAGTAATCTTTGTTAAATATTACTTATATTACGTAATCTTTGTTAAATATTACTTAAATCACGTAATCTCTGTTAAATATTTACTCATAATCTCTATAAGCATTTCGTATAACGCGTCATCTATGTAAAATATTGCTTATATCTCGCGATATATGTCAAATATTAAACAGTATACCTTTTTCTAAAATTAAATATTAGTATTAAAATAGTTATTTGAAAAAGGATCGCTTTATTGTTACTGCTGAAAGTATATAAAAATTAGTGTAATATCTGTATGGTGAATAGTCTTTTGTCTATGACAATCATTTCTGTTTTTCTATTTTGTTGAATTTTCATTAAAAATAGCCACACAGAAATTCAAATTCTGAGTAATTGATTGGAAATATTATTTATAAATAATTAAACTACGCATTGACATTTCTATTTCGAAGTACTTTTATGAACCATCGTTGTCTAATGATATAAATACATATTTTTTCAGTGGTGTTTTTAAAAGTCTCCAAATAAGAAAACACTTTTATGACGTTAAAATCTTCACTTCGTGATCTGAAAATGATACAACAGTTGTATTTGATATTTACCTGATACAATATCTGTATACGAATGACAAAATACTTACAATGGCCACATTTGGTCGGTATTTTACAGATTTGGGTTGGTCGTAAGGAACTCGCTGACGCCGGAAATTCCGAGCACCTGTCGAGGGAATATGTTCTCCCGTGTACAAGTGAACATGCTGGAAGACAGTTTCTGTTGGCCATTCCTGTATAGAGATCAGTACTATAACTATATGTACATATTCATTCCTATTTTATTACACCAGGTGTCGTGTACACAGGCGAGCATTTCTATCAACACAATGCATCATATACAGTAAACGTATGTTGATGTGAAATTACATATTTGAATCACCTGTCGTAACAATATGTATAATGTTAAACATCATGACAAATTAAAAAATTATAAATAACATGTAAAATGTGTTAACCTGACTGGTTCTTTAGCATCTCAGTGATAAACTTTCACTTCAATATTAAGGTTGTAAGAACTTATACAATAAAAACATTTTATCTCCTCCAAATTTTGACCCCAAAATTTTCGTGCTAAATATTAAGCGTGTCACTGAATGACCGAAAAATGACTTACAGTAGTACCCCTCATTTCCAAATTTCTTGGAGAATTTCTTATGTGCCAATGTTTTCTCTGATGGACAATTAGGTCAGTCTTGGATGACCTGTACGTGTACACAGTAGCTATAATATACATGATCGATAAAGCGACACACAATAATGAGGAGATTGACAGATATATAACTCTTAATGTTATTTTAGGCATCGACGACAACAAATTAGTTATATCTCTGTGACTATGTGATATATGATACACTGAATATTTCAGTTCTATTTCTGCAGTGACAACAGGAACAATGTCTAAAACTAATAACATTATGTTCCGTTTAATGGGTATCATATTCAACCTTTGTTCCTCAATAATATCAAATTATGTCACACAATAAAATGGTCAAAAAATGAGTCGTTATTACGACGTTATTCTTGTCATTTCTATAATTCATAGATTTCTTGGGATATTTTACCAAAGGCAAGTGGACTGAAACTTTCATTACAAATTTTCGCGAGCAGACTTAAACAATTAATTAAAAACTGTATCGTGTCACTGTCTTGTCCTTCTAGGATTCGTTAGTGGTGCTAGAGAAATATTGTATTGAAACTTAAAAGGCGGAAAATCAAACTTAGTTGACAAAACTGTTAATTTAATATGGTAAAGGTTCACAAACCCATCAATGCAATAAATTTGTAAAATCTAAAAAAAGCATAGAGGCATCTGTTTAAATATTTATCATGTTTTTCCATCTTACACAAAAACCGCAAGTAATAAACACCGTTCATTACAAATTTACAATAGGATGCAACATACAACAGTTTTGTCCTTCTAGGACTCGTCAGTGATGCTACATCATACAACAGTTTCGTCCTTCTAGGACTCGTCAGTGATGCTACATCATACAACAGTTTCGTCCTTCTAGGACTCGTCAGTGATGCTACATCATACAACAGTTTCGTCCTTCTAGGACTCGTCAGTGATGCTACATCATACAACAGTTTCGTCCTTCTAGGACTCGTCAGTGATGCTGCAACATACAGCTGTTTCGTCCTTCTAGGACTCGTCAGTGCTACATCATACAGTTGTTTCATCCTCCTAGGATTTGTCAGTGGTGCTGAAGACCTATATTTGTTTACACCTAAGAGGCGACCGCGCAAAATAATAGCTCTGTACTCTTTTGCTGTACACGATATCTAGGTTATTACAAACTGCTTATTCAAAATCATATTTGGTTTTTGGTTTTATAAATTAAAATGGTATAAAATCGATTAAAATATACTGATATTTAAATATATGAATATTACCTGAGAATGCTTTTGCCTTGTCCACTGTTGCCTGTGATCCATCGCGTGCAGACTTCCGGTTAGATGTGACAAACCAACAAATACCTGTGGTCCTATACACATATGTATGTGATCTACATGTATAAAAGTGTATTATACACAAAACAGAGTTTTGATCAAGACACAATGGTCAAGATGAATAAGGTTCCCGAGTAAGCACCAGCGAACGAAACACTCAACTAATGTTTAAATATCTACAGCATTTCTATTGTAAATTGTATTAAAAATTCTTTCAAAGCGTTATTTCATTATCTATATCTAGTTATACAAAAATTTGATATAGGTGAGGATATTGACGCTATCAGAAATATATAGCAATTATAAAATAACTATATATGTCTGATCATTTTAGTGATGATATTAACCGAGGGGTTTAGACACGCTTATTAGGAAAATTCATTTGAAAAAATTAACATAAAGAAATACTGAAATGTCGATCGGAAAAACGATATATGAATAGACAATTAAAGATATATTACTAGTAAAGAGAATAAAACATATTTTAGTCTTATTTTCCTTGTACTTTTTCATAGGTTTCCGTGTAAAGCTTCTTTTTATTGATAATTTGCCCTAGTTTCATCAAATTTGAGTTTTAATTGAGATTTTGCCGACAAGCCAGTTATTTTTGTTGTAGTTTTGTTAACCTAGTATCCATACAAACAATACATAGATATATACTTAGAAAATCTTGATCCACCAAGAATGGTCGATTACCGGAAGTAAACACTTCCTGGAAGTTAGCAGATACAAAACATGTCGTGTTGATATCGTAAAGTGAAATTTATTTCGCCTGTGATCTATTTTCATGACTACATCTACCCTGATGTCTGTTTGGATCTTATTTACCCTTCGTAAATAGACAACAGGTAAGTTTATCCTTAGCAGAAATAACTATTATATATAGTGTCAAAAGATGACTCAGCTCAGTAGACAGGATAGTAACCATTAAGCCTGGGAACCATCTCTGAATTCTAGACCAATCCACACACAGAGGGCTCCACCCAATGAGGACGTGTGGCTCAGACTGCTTGTTGTATAGGAGTGTTCAGACTGTCTGTTGTATAGGAGTGTTCAGACTGTCTGTTGTATAGGAGTGTTCAGACTGTCTGTTGTATAGGAGTGTTCAGACTGTCTGTTGTATAGGAGTGTTCAGACTGTCTGTTGTATAGGAGTGTTCAGACTGTTTGTTATATAGGAGTGTTCAGACTGTCTGTTGTATAGGATTGTTCAGACTGTTTGTTATATAGGAGTGTTCAGACTGTTTGTTGTATAGGAGTGTTCAGACTGTCTGTTGTCGTCAGGTTTCAGTCACCAAAACTCTTTGATTGATAAAGTAAACAGACATCTTCGAAACCTTGTAAAACTAGTTTTAAATCGCTGTTAATGATAAACATATTCTATAATTTATCTATACCTAATTGTAGAATCTCATTCCGAACAGGTAGGTAATGTTATCATAGTAACACTGTCCTTTATATGTATATGTAAACAAAGTGCATGTTTATATTCTATACTGACCTATTTCAATCACTCTCGGATTAAAACTGAAATACTGACTCAGTGGACAGTGTACTGTATTAAAAATGATATTTTTTCTTTGTTTGTCTAGCTATTACATAATATTGTATTTCTTTAAGAAATCAGAGGAATTCACAGAACGATTTACTTATAAGGAATACGCATATTCTATAAATAGCATATCACGCTGTATATTAATCGCAGCTTCTAATCTGGAAGTATAAAATTAAACTTTTGTCTTTCTACTAAGTTAAACATTATTTGTTATTCCAGAAATAATGTTTCAAGCTATAAGCGACAATTTTACCAGAAGCACGGGGACTGAAAGTCTCGTTCCCATAGAAACCATTATCCATGCCAACAGCATAGACTTGCTACAGGTGGTGGTACAGAGACGCGAGAGACATTACGCCTGGCATAAATACATCTACATGCCTTACGATTTCAAAGTAAGTAACTCTGAAGGTGTGTATACAGGGTTTCCAAACAGAAATGTACGCTCTACACTGAATACTGGATCAAAGGTTAAAAATTTTTGTGATCATTGAAGATTTAGCAATTATCATTTCTTCTACAGTTATTTGTTATATCTTATATGTAACATAGGTCATTTTTCATCTCAATGCCTCCGCTAGGAATCGAACCTGGGACACCTGGCTTACTAGTCTGACGCTCAACCAATCGAGCTAAAGAGAAGTTCTCTCTAGCCGAGTGGTATATTGCGGCTAGTATTTTACCAGGGTTACATATATATTCGTCTGATGGAAAATCAAACATTTTAGTTACAAACATTAATTAGAGATTTCAATTATTAGATTTAGCAGTAAAAGTTATTTTGATCCTCCTTTGTTTTCGTACAAAAAAACATGGACCATTTCTTATTTATTTACATTTGTAATGTATGGTCTCTAGAGGAAGCCGACAAAGCCCTGTGTTGAATTACATAAATCGATTATACATATGGTGATCAGACTTGCGCAAGGGTGCACGTCCTTGTCACTACTAAGTGTAAATGTTTCTCTGTATATAAATATGAATGTAAATGAGCAATTAAAAACATTAATTATTTTCATCTGTCATTATTTGGTGCTATTGGGGTGTTGTCAATGACGCCAACTAATCTTGGTTCATAATTTATGAATATCGGTAAATATCGTGTGTAAACGTAAGGATTGCGTGCGCACTGAAAGTTATTCTAATGTATGATATTCCTAGATGCAAGTACAAAAACTGAAAAAAAAAACTAAAAAAAAAAAAAAACAAGAACAAGCACGAGTTTCTGATATCGATCAATCTCTAACGTGGTTTTTACGAACGTTTCCATTACAGATCAAAAATCTTTTGGTAAATTACAAAAAGAAGATGAAGACTAAGAAAAAGACATCGAATTTCTGCAGATGGAGCAGAGAAATAGAACTCTCACTTAGTGGGAAGTTTGGACGAGCCATACTGAATGACTTGGGTGACAAAAGCCTCTCTCAGAAGGACAAAGTCAGGATAGAAGCAAATGTAGGAGAGACAGAAATGGACAAAATTGACCCTAATAAAATATACAGAAAACTTGTTGGAAGGTTGGCATAGATAAATTATTTACATATTTATCTATTCATTCTTGCAAATTATAATTTACCTTTATCTTTTTTATTTTTATATACTTATTCCTTAATTCATTAGTATAAATAATTGTAACCATGGTAACGTCGTATATGGTAACTTCGTCATATCCAAACGATTGCAACACACCCGGAGTTAGTAACAAACGATTGAAGTTTTCAATTCTTGGATTAGGCTTACTGGTGCTGAAGTATAATTTGGTTGGGAATATGAATGCGTTTATATCATATCTTTAGAAACCTTTACAGATATTTTCGTACATTTGTTTAAGTATAACTAAAACCACGTCTGTTGAAGGAAACTCAACTTGGATCATCCCTGGGTCCATCAGGTATGTCAAGACAAGAAAAATGTCATCTGTGTTGTCCAGTCCATCGTCAAACTGGCCGGAGATGCTGAAATAAAAACTACTTCAATCAAACGGGTAGGCATAAAGTCAATACTTAATCTACTACATCTTTGTAAAAAGTCTTGTTTGATGCGGGGTTTGTTTCTTTTAAATATTTTATGTTTTAATATCCCCCATTGCTAACATCTGATAGCTTTGAAATTGTATCCCATTTATTGACTATTATCTACATAACACCGTAGAATCCAATTTCTTTCTTGTATAACATTGTTACATATCACATAGATACTTGCTATCAAATAAAAATTCCTTATCAAATAATTTCGATCGTCGGTGATCCAAACAACAAAATATTACCAGTCATAATCGAGCATCTCTTTAAACGGAATTCCGTTTAATATCATGAATGGAGATTACAGAACGAGTAGTATTGGCATTAGGTATTTCTTTTACTCGAGTAAAAACAAAAAAAAAACAGGAGCTTGAACAACTCTTGGAAAATAACTAACTAGAGTGAAAGAGGTAACATATCTAATAACCACACCTTTATGTTGAAAAAGTTATTTCAAAATCATGAATTACTTATTGAGTGTTCTTACTTCCGTTAGTGCCCTTTAGGTCAAAGTTCATCCTGACAGATAATCAAAACTTGTTAAACTATTATACTACACGTGGTATAACATTCATGTTAATACAACAATTGAAATGATAAATTGGAGTTGAATTATATCTATCTATTGAAGTAGAATTCCTTTTCTAGAAGAGCCGTTACCCATGTTTACCTACACTTGTTCCATACCCTAATAAAATCAGGTCAGAATGATGTCCCTCAAACAGATTACCTAATGCGTTTATCGGAACGACGAGCCTCTTTCTACACTCTAAAAACCGTGATACACTTCCATGATGACAGAATCCCCACACCCACCCCCGACACAGTTCCTACTGAAACAAATGTTCAAGAAATTTAAAATCCTGTTGCCGGCTGTGTGAAATATTTGAAAATCAAGAAATGGTAATGTCACTATATTAAAACAGATGCTTTCATCTGTGTCATCGATCTAATCATTATTAACGTGATGATTATCTCCCTTTTTTCTTTCAAATCCTTACCACAGTCCACTGCACACAGTCCCTTTCATTGTAAACATAATTACCCGTGAGACAGGATTAGGTGTACAGTGGATTACAGTAGCTAGTGTTTTACTACCTACACTTTTCCATTTTGAGTGGTGTGAAATATTACAGCTTATAAAACCCTGATCAAATATTTCCCTTAACCCACGTATATTCAGTCATAGATATGTTTCTTTCCTCGAGATTATCATGAGTGTTACAAGTGATGTCCCTTACAATATACATCGTTAGCATAATTGTCCCCTTATACACAGAACGTAATATGAGTTATGTCCCTTGGTACACAGAAGTCTGGCGAAGAAGAAACATCGGACAAGAGTAAAGATCTCGGACTTGTGTGCGGCACTCCTATAGCGTATAAAGTGATGCCTCTCCAGATTGGGGTTCCCTCCGGTGTCGTCGTACCGTGTATGGGGATCGGAGTCAAAGGTGGATTCAAGGAGGACTCAAGGATGCTGGGAGTACCACCCGATGGGACAATCGATGACTCGTATGAAAGTGTGTCTACAATTTACTTATATGCATGCAAGTTGTACGCTAATAAACGTTGTAGTCTCCATTCAGGTAAAACATTTTTGTCTGAATAGAATCACATGCGTCTTGCATACCATGATTTAGATCGTATTTGCCGCATAATTTGAATCGCTGGGTTTCTTAAATTTCCTGTATTAAATAACTTTCTTTTTCTCAATATTAAGTTTTTCCTCTAATTACAGCCGATAGTGATGAAGATGAAGAAGAAGTTAAACCCTCTCAATCAGAGCCGGAACCACAACCGGAACCACAACAGGAACCGGAAACTACTGCTCCAATAGAAGAAGTTGTGCAGACAAATGAAGGTGAGGCTATACAGCCACCCGTAGAAACGTTAACAGGGGGAGATAACTCAAATGACTCCTTACCATTACCGTCAGCTCCACCGATGCTGCCACCTGACGGAACTGTTTATCCGTCAATTGGGGAGCCTCCAGATGGCGATCTACCTCCCTATCCTTTAGTTAATACCATGCCGGGACCTGCTGATGTTTCGGACGAAGTACAGGCCAACTTGATACAGGAATTTTCTTCTAAACACGTAGATTAGTAGTTCTAATTGTAAAAACTGTATTCAGATATAGTGAATTGTGAAGCACCGCTAGGATATCGTTCACATTTTCTTATAAATTATAATGGATATGATTTCATCCCAACGTGTGAAAAGGGCCTCTATACTTTTACTTATTAATTCCAGAAAGTAACACATTTAAAATTGGGTTAGAACACCTTGTGCATTGTCATAACACACTGGACGGTGTAAGGGATCAGAACAACTATTTTTTATTTTTTGTATTTGCCTTCATTTATTTCCTAGAAAAAGCAAATTAATTTGTGATGATAGGTTTTTTTTCAACCTTTAAAAGAATAAACTTTCCTTTTGAAATAAAAACGTGTTTTTGGTTTTATTTATTATCAAATATCAGAGTTATCTCCCTTTTGTTCATTTGATGACATGATCATTTGTCCTTTATTCATGTGCTTTTCATGAAACATCTTTAACCTTCAAGCAATGTAAATCACATTAGATATATAAAAAGACAAAGGGTGACCCATAGAGAATTTCCTAATATAGACTACACTTAAGTAAGATAATAAGTAAAAGAATCGGTGGTCTTTTTTTGCCGTGTAGAAATATATCTGAAAATTTTCTTTAAATTGTTATAGTAATCATATGAGCGTTAGATTTGTCTCCCTTGTCACACACTTTGTCTGCATTACATGCGTTCCTATTCGCATTCGAAGCCGCCAACGTCGGAAACGATGTCATTACCACACCGGAAGATATAGTGGCGGTCCTCCAGCCATTACTAGACCTACCGGAAACTGAACGACAATCTTTTACGTCCGTTCTCAACATTTTGCTTCCAGAGGATGTTGAGATCCTAGACAAAATCGTAAGATATTTTTGAATTTTGAAATTTATCTGAAATAAAAGATATGCATAATATTATGCAGTTTACTTTTCAACAGTTATATCGTCTTATAGGTTGGATGAGTATCTCGGCAATATTTACCATTCAACCATTAATTTGTCTTAAAGGTCTAATGAGAGTATCGGCAACATTTGTTCGATGCCTCACTTAATACCTTGTGATTGATGTAACTCTCCCTTGTAATCGTTTTGATATATTAACCCTATAATAACCAACATCATAGATTGTATAATACGTTTATCATTTCAATACTTTTCTATCTTTGACTTTGAATAAATGGAAACCTATATAAGTAATACAAAAAAAAGATCTGAGGTTCCTGAAGGGGTACTCCTTCTCAGCGTTTTAATTCGTACATTTTGGTACTGAAATACAATTATTTTCTCTTCATTGCTTTAGTTTCTTGATGCTAAGTCTGGTACAGAAGAAAATCACGTGATCAACATCGGTGACAAAGTGTTTATGGATAGAGACTCCTGTCTCATGCTGCTTAAGCTTTCTGGATTCAGTGAGAAGGTAACACCCTTCTTTCGGAATTATTTTGTCATATTTCAGAAATTTTTATCCTGAAATAATTCTTGAAACTATCATTCATATATAAAGAGTTAACAACCTTCAATAAAAAAAAACGGAAGCAGAAGTTTATCCATTTGTTTCTAATTTTAGAATTAATTATCTATCTTTTTGAATTTGAATGATGTGATTCTTATTATCGGTGGTTGACTAATCCAAATTGGATTGACGTCATAATACGCGCTGACCTCGTCTATGTTGTGACCTAATTTCTAAAGACACACCTGATAAAAGAGCCAAATCTGCACTTATTGTTATAGATTAACGACTCTCAATGACAGCATATAGTCCAAACGACCTTGAAATTACTTTGTGAAAGAAAATATGTCTTTCAGAGGAAAATAAATATTGCTTTATACTATCAAAATGTCGAGGTGTTTTCTAATGTTGACGAGCTGTTTGCTTTGTCCAACAGAGCGATATGGAATTGACCATCTCAGTCCCTACGTCAGCCATATTTAAAGCTTGTGGTCACGTTATTGGCGCCATGACCTACTTTTCTATGGAACTACTGGAGCTTGTCCGCGCATGCTTACCGGAAATAGCGTCAAACTTGTTACTGGTGGTTAGTATGTCGTTTAAATATATGTAATAAATTTGATGGACATTGTCATTGGAAATGTTTCAAGCATTTTAATACTCTGTCACATTTTAACCGGCGATTTAAATCAAACTTCATGGTAAACAAAAACAACCAATAACAGACAATACACTGAAGGGTCTGTAGAGGGAATTCCCTTTAGTTGAGCAGGAGAGTGTCTGGTCAGAGACCGAAGGGCCTGTAGAGGGAATTCCCTTTAGTTGAGCAGGAGAGTGTCCGGTCAGAGACCGAAGGGTCTGTAGAGGGAATTTCCCTTTAGTTAAGCAATAGAGTGTCCGGTCAGAGACTGAAGGGGGAATTTCCCTTGAGTCGAGAGGTAGAGTGTCCTGTCAGAGTCTGAAGGGTCTATAGAGAGAATTTCCCTTTAGTCGAGCGTTAGAGTGTCTGGCTAGAGATCAGGGGTCTATAGGGGGATTTCCCTTGAGTCGAGCGTTAGAATGTCTGGCTAGAGATCAATGGTATGTAGGGTGATTTCCCTTGTGTCGAATGTTAGAGTGTCTGACTAGAGATCAAGGGTATGTAGGGTGATTTCCCTTGTGTCGAATGTTAGAGTGTCTGACTAGAGATCAAGGGTATGTAGGGTGATTTCCCTTGTGTCGAATGTTAGAGTGTCTGACTAGAGATCAAGGGTATGTAGGGTGATTTCCCTTGTGTCGAGCGTTAGAGTGTCTGGCTAGAGGTCAGGGGTCTATAGGGGGAATTTCCCTTGAGTCGAGCGTTAGAATGTCTGGCTAGAGATCAAGGGTATGTAGGGTGATTTCCCTTGTGTCGAGCGGTAGGGTGTCCGACTAGACACCGAAAGTTTTGAACCTCGATATTTAAGTGTGTTTTCACGGGGTTAACTACATTGGTGAGCACGTTTTTTTCAGTTTGGAAAGGCGCTGAAGGGTGAAAAGTCTGTGACGGTGGAAAATACTCAGTCGTTAGTGGAAAGCAATGTGGGAAGCGAAATATTACAGCGATTGAATATCCAAATGGGCTCGGATGCTGCTAGTATACCGGAAGCAGTTCCGGAAATGTTAGACAAAGTATTCTGGGTATTGTTCGCAGTCCAGGGAAACTCTGAGGCTGCTGGTGTCTGGTAGATCCCCTTAACCGATTTACCATTGTTTATGTAACTAATACTAGAATACCTTAAACTCACTTAAAGACGTTACGAAATAAAATAAGTCGTTAATCTGAAATATTGCGTTTTCCTCTTATAAAAAGTCCTTTGTTTAAAAACCATAATCATTTTTATCTAACATTCAAATATACATGGTGGTCAGTAGAGTATAGACTTAATTTTTATTTAATTATATTTTCCTCTATTCAATATTTTGTTTATTTATATATTTGCACGTATCTATTCTTTCTATTTTGTTTTTACTGAACAATAAAAACATTCTGAGATCGTAAGAGTTTTATGTAAGAGTTATCTATCTTGTTCTGTACAGGAAATCGTGAGAACTAAAACAAGATCATGACTAAATTTAAACTCTCGAAAAGTTGTACAATATGTCTATATATTATAGATGTAAATAAACACTTATATGATGATAAGCTAGACTATATTCTTCTACAAAATATATTCAAACGCTGAAAATCTAGAAAGCGTTTATCCCTTCACATGATTCGTACCACTGCGCGAGGGTGACCCTCACTTCTTATCTAGATAGCTATGGGGTTTTTACCCTGGAGGTACAGTAAGGCTATCAGACTACACAAAGGGTTATCTGTGTTTGTCACTGTTAACTTACCATGTCGCGTGTACATGTTCTAAAGTGCACTAACACTGTATCTATGTTATTGCGAAATCGAAATGTAATTTTAAGTAGATTTGATTGCACAATCTAACCAGAGACATATATAACACACATATACGTCTCTGATTTAACCGATAAAAACATATTGATAAAATTACTAAGGCATTCTCGTATAACCACTCCTAGATATTGCAAAAGCATCTCTTTTTTTCGGGAGAAAAGCAATACATTCTGTATCTAACTATAAATCTTTCTACGGTTATGACAACCATTAAAATATAATCCAATTCGAAAATGTCATTGTATTTGTATATTGTCGCTTGTAAACATCCCTGACGTCATACATTTTACATTATTTATTAATATAAACATATTTTATTATCAGAATTAGATAAATAGATCAGAGAAAAGTTCTAGCAACTTATGAACTCTGCTCCATAAAGGATATAAATGATTAATATACTGCACGTGACACATATTTATACTATAAAGTAACTCGTAGACGTACAATTGTAAGTTTAAATCATTTTGTCTAAAGGAGGAAAAGATGAGGTGATAGGATAGAAAGAAAAGAAGAGAAAAAGCGACAGTATAGATTTTATATCAATTTGATATAAATTATCAATTGTACGAGTAAGTAGGTCCTGATGACGTTTACGTTCTTGTTGTAGGCGTCGACCGCCATTATTGGTGATACTGAAGAGTCATTAAATATTACTGTATTTAATGGCACGCTGCTTTCGTTATCGTCGCTTGTTTATGTAAATGTGATCACAGCTCTTCCCCATATGTTATTAACGCGGTTTGAATAGCTGATTACGTCACTGACATGTGTCCGTAGCCATGATGACCGTTGGCATTATAACACGGTCGACTAGGATCTAATTAAATCACTAGTCTGCGGAAAGGGAAGTGTTATGTAAGGAGATGACATATGTTCCGTTGTAATTTAATCGCCGGTAGGTGTCACTTAAAACATGGACTTCAGTACCCTGTAATAACCACCTCCGTCGGCTCTAGGGGAGAATAGGGCCATCATAGCGACGGTATCCAATGATACTGGACGATAAGAGGTCAGTGGCTTGGAGATCGATCATGTCCAGATGTAGATAATAAGAGAAAATTACATTCGGTATTATACGTCCCTGATTCGGCTATCCTCGACTGATTTCGGTACTCTTCGTCGATAGTTACGGAATCAGCCGAAATATAATATGTGAGCTGGTGTGTAGTATAGACTTAAAGAGGAACCTGAATGTTTTTTTTTTTTTTTTTTCAAATATGTGTCATTAAATCAAATAGCCTTTGCTCGTTCATTTACCGCAAAATCGTTTGTGTTTTATTCTTGTTATTATTTACTTTCTGGTTATATTTACATAACAGTCAACATTTTGGGCAATATAGGTCAGGTTAAACTTAATTTCATCTTATACCTTAGAGTAAATGCAGTAAAGGGAACAGCCAACACCTGGAATTGTTAGCAAAATTATTATGACATCACAATACGTGGGGATCACTTGCAGTTATTAGTTTTGCCTCTGTCTAGCAGTTATATGGTAATGGGACGACAGCGGACACAACCGGAAGTTGATACGTCATGCAGGATATATATATTTATTTACATAATTAAAACGATAAATCAACACGGTAGTTTGCTAGCGGTTTCAGGCCTAGAGGCCCTCTTCAGGTGTTCAGGTGTTTTAATGATGTACTCCTCTGAAGTTTTCAATATAAAATAAACTCTCTACCCTATTTTGTGATTTGTCTTTTTATATACTTTGTCAGTTATCTACAATTGTACTTATAAGTTGAAAACGGTAGATCTATTTGACGTTTTGAAGAAATTTCGTTCGGGGATTAAAACTTTTGACGGTGTAGTTGACGGCGTGATTCGCTTTATGACGTCAACAATTCCAACGTTTTCTGGTTGTTACGGTACTTCATCTGGGTATAACTCTGAAAGTATTGAGTAGATTTTCAATTAAATTTTGTATACATTATCACCGAAAATGATAGATTTCAAATTCGTGAATTCCGACCTGATGGCCACTTTCTCGGATTCTCAGGACCTACAGATAAATCATTCCTTTGGTTTCTTGATCTTGTAGCTCATTGGATGATAATTGCAAAACATAAAACACAGACCCTCTCTTTTTCAATAATGAAAATAGAAACAAATTTTAGAAACAAATTTTAATACTAGCCGTTGCTATGCATTTGAAAGATACTTAATTCATCTAAAAAAAGCATTTTCACAAGATTGTTTTCTTAATCCATGTATCATACCTTTTCTTTGTAATGAAAGACGAAAATTAATTTCGAGAAAGGTTGCCGCGAAAATAAAGAACGTCTGTTATTCGGGAAAAAAAGTAAGTAAGTTTCCTGTTACACATATTCTTCCGCCTATACCGGACAATGTAGTGCAGCAATGTATTGATTTATTTACTTTTAATCTTCTTTCTAAAATCGAACCTTTCAAAAAATCATCACCAGTTAAAAATGTTTGACACTTTCATTTCCCTTTCAGAGGAGAACATCCTTGGTGACTTAGTAACGAAATTATGACGTAATCAATGATAAGAATAGAGGGAAATAGTGTTACTGCTTATAGTGTATGACGTTACTAAATAACACAGTCCATGACCATTTACTGTCGTTAGCAAACTACCGTGCTAATTTTATCTTTGTAATTATGTAAACGATGCACAGCATGTCTACAAGTTAAACCCATACATATATGTTTATCTATGGTAATGAACATAAGGGGTCTATGATATATGTCAGAATGCAATATATGAAGATATATTTTTGTTCGTTTAAATAGTTGTAGCAGCGCTTCAACGTGTCGCCATAATTAAATGGAGCCCGACATTATCTATATCGCGACCAGAAGAGAAAGATCACCGATGTTTTAGTTGAACTGACATTGTTTGTTGGATCATATTAACACATATTACCCGTTGTTATTTTTCCCCGTTTTCACCGGAACACCAAAGACAACTACTGCTAATAAGACTTGCTCAAGTCCAAATTGATTTAAAAATATAAACCGTATCTACACTGTCAACACAATCGTCATTAGTTGACACAAACGCCACACCAAATACAGTCTGTATTCGTTGCCATGAAATCACAATTTAAAACCTCATCGATCACATCTGAACAATACAATCTATTATTTCCGACCTGTTTCATACAGATCTGTCGGTGTACAATACAACGTTATTCGTACACAGATAATTGTGAGGTCCAGGTTGTTGGAGTGGAGATAGACAGACCGAGAAATAACAAAGTTGACAAGGATATCAGCTCTAACTAATAAATAGACAAGGAAATCAGCACAGGAAGCAGTAGCTGTCAGTAGAGAGGAGATAAATGACTACGTTCAGAGAAATACGGAAACAAAAAGCTTTGGAAATGGAAACGGAAATAATATGATAAACGCAATCAAAATCAAATTGTTTCATATTCTAAAGCTAAGTATAGTATTTCAAAGTCAGGTTTAGTGCATCACATTCAACTAAAGTATAACACATAGTAAAGTTTAACACACATTCAAGTATACCGTCTAACAGTCAGATATAGTGTCTTATAGCAAAGTATATATCTTACAGTCAAGTATACCGTCTCACAGTCAAGTATAGCGTCTCACATTCAAGTATAGCGTCTCACAGTCAAAAATAGTGTCTTATAGCAAAGTATATATCTTACAGTCAAGTATACCGTCTCACAGTCAAGTATAGCGTCTCACAGTCAAGTATAGCGTCTCACAGTCAAGTATAGCGTCTCACAGTCAGAAATAGTGTCTTATAGCAAAGTATATATCTTACAGTCAAGTATAGCGTCTCACAGTCAGAAATAGTGTCTTATAGCAACGTATATATCTTACAGTCATGTATACCGTCTCACAGTCAAGTATAGCGTCTCACAGTCAAGTATAGCGTCTCACAGTCAGATATAGTGTCTTATAGCAAAGTATATATCTTACAGTCAAGTATAGCGTCTCACAGTCAGATATAGTGTCTTATAGCAAAGTATATATCTTACAGACAAATATAGCGTCTCAGTATACAAGGTAAGACTATCGTAGTACATACAGGATTCAGACTTAGGGAACAGTATACAGGATAGATGGTTAGACTATCGTAGTACATACAGGGTTCAGATTTAGAGATAGAGGGAACAGTATACAGGATAGAAGGTTAGACTATCAGGGTACATACAGGGTTCAGATTTAGGGAACAGTATACAGGATAGAAGGTAAGACTATCAGGGTACATACAGGGTTCAAATTTAGAGATAGAGGGAACAGTATACAGGATAGAAGGTTAGACTATCAG